GGGGGGGGGGGGGGGGGTAGATAGCAGGGGAATCACCAGATAGTAGAGGAGCTAATGCTTCCCCTGCTATCTGCTGGGTTGTTTTTATTTGCATTTTGACAGTGGGCCCCAAAAACAGATAGCAGGGAAATGAATAGCTAGGCTGCTATTGGCCATTTCAAGTTGCAATAGCAGGCTGGCTATTGTACTCGCCCACTGCTGCTGTCAATCAGCAGAGGAGGACCTGAAGGCCACCGTCAGAATAAAAAAAACCCAGATAGCAGGGGAATCAGAAGATAGCAGGGGATCCTAGAAAGGTCTACTCTGCTAGATAGAGCAGAGTAAACCTTTCTAGGATAAAATGTTTCTCTTGTGGGCATCAGGGAGCCGCTATCTTATAGCGGGAGACTCCCGGAATGTCCGGGAGAGTTGGGATGTCTGCTAGTCTGTACATTGCTTTACAGGGACTGCAATAGGCTATGACCAGGTCAAATTTAGGTACTTAAACTGCTTGAATAAAAAAAAACCTTCAGTTATATGATAATGATTATAAAGATACATTAATTTGTATCTGGAGTAAACCTTTCAAGAAAACCTGTTCTAAAATAAATGCATAGGCTTCCATTGATATCCTTTCAAAATGCTAGTAATTTAGTGGCTTCCATATTTGTTTACTATGTATTCTCTCTGCTATTCTTCTGTTCAGTAGTGGCGAATGGCCACACACAGGAAATCTCCACAGAGGCTAAAGAGAAGAAGGAGAAGAAGCATATTAACAAAGGCATGATGCTGTGCGTCTGCTATGCAGCCAGTATTGGAGGTACGGCCACATTAACAGGAACGGGGCCAAACCTTGTACTGAAAGGACAGTTTAGCTCGTAAGTACATTGAACAGTTTATTGCAGCGTGAAATACTGAGCAGAAAAAATACAGCTGTCTCCAGTAGCAACCGATCTCTTTTCTGCGTTCATTTTGTATACTACACACAATATGTCCTCTCTTTTTTCTTTTTATGAAGTCACCTTTATCAGATATCATTAATTGTTCTGTAAAGCAAAATACTTCCTTCCCCTACAGTGATGCAATGCCTGTGAGCTCCCTCACCGGCACCGACATCTTTGCTTGGTCTTCTTTCAGGTTCAGGCATCTTGATTGGCTGTGCCAGGATGATGTAACTCCCACATATTCGTATGGGGGTTCATTGGTCCCAGCAGAAGCCGAAAGTGGACACTGGACTGTGCTTACATATCTCAGTGTACATTATTAAGAAGACTGCAAACAGGCAGGTAAGAATCCCTTATTGCAGAAAAGACACAGGGGGTTGATTTACTAAAGGCAAAAGATTCACTTTGCAAGGGAATTTTTTCTTAGCTTAGTGAATGATCCAATCAGCTTCCATCATCCAATCATATGCAAGCACAAATACTGCTTTTTTTTATCATTTTCCATGTATGTGTGTATTCTTTGCAAAGTTTTTCACCACATTCACTAAGCTAAGTGCAAATTCCCTTGCAAAGTGAGCAGCCTATTTGCCTGTTTTTAAAAACTAGGATTTTTGCTCACGCATGATTGGATGATTACATTCAACATTGCTTCGCCTCAGATATACTTAATTTACTAAGAAGTGTCAAAATTCGCTTTGCAAAGCAAGCATTCTCTACTTGCAAAGTTGGTTTAGTGGTATTTATCATATATTATATATTATAACATTTCATGACCATTCCTGTGTGCTTTTTTTCCTGTGCATTCCAGGATTTTTCCCAACAATGGTGATATCTTGAATTTTGCCTCCTGGTTTGGCTTTGCCTTCCCTAACATGATTGTGATGTTGTGCATAGCTTGGTTGTGGCTACAGTTGTCCTTCTTGGGAATAAAGTAAGTTATGTCTCTTATGAATACAATGTTAATTTGTAAACCAAATCTGATTTACTTTAAAATGATCTAAAATGATATCGAGTAAGTAATAGTAAATATGTTAATCAGGGAAGACATTTATAGGACATTTTTCCTGGACTGATATTAGGAAAATAGGAAGATCATAGAATAGTGTCAAGAATGTTACTTTTGCAAAGTTCTTGGGGTCAGGGAAGGAGGGCAGGAAGGAAAGGGAAGAAAGGAAAAAATAAAGGAAAGGGAAGGAAGGAAAGGGAGGGAAGGAAGGAAAGGGAAGGCAGGAAGGAAAGGAAACAGGGAAGGAAGGAAAGGAAACAGAAAGGAACGGAGGAAAGGAAAGGAAAGGGGAGGAAGAAAGGAAAGGGAAGAAAAGAAATGTAAAAAGAAAAGAGAGACCAGCACTGACGAAATATCTAGGCTGCCATCAGTGAACCTGTTAAATCCCTTAATATTATATTAAAGGCTAAAGACTTTAGCACTTTCACTACCCAATAAAATGTATTCAAATTTAGTTGTAGTTGCAGTGTGGGGAGCAAAAACATGTGTTGGTTTCTTTTATATCTTGTGACTTTTTCTGACAATTGGATCTCTGGGGTCTTACTCGTCCTGGTATGGCAGCAGGAGTCTCACCATGTTTGGTTTCTTCTTTATAAAGCAAATGTAAAGAAATACCCAGCAAGGGGATAGAAAATACCCCTATTAATAGCTCTTTCATATGGGTGACTCATGAATTGCCGAAGTGATGTATATTTGGCACTGCTGAGGTCCATTGCAGAGATAAATAGCTGGTGGGTGATGATAACAAAAACACAAAACTTTCAGATTTGGTTGGACTAACCCTGTAAAGGTAAAGTGTGGAGTGCCAGGATGTAACAGTCTGGCTCTATATTGATTCAATTTTAAATTGTTTAACTTTATAATCTGATATTGTATATCATTATTTCTATATTTGTATGAAATTCTTATTTTACAAGTCAAAACTGAATACAGGATGCCTCCATACTGTAGTGTGCATAGTAAATTTTGGGCTGTCTAATACAAAGCCCAGCACTAACTCTGCACTTGTTGACTTGCCCTGCAAGGAAAGATCTAAACAGCATAATCTCTGTTTTGAGAGAGAGGGGGATGCATACCTACTCTGAGTTATTCAGCTACATGCATGTGTGCAATAGTATAGCAGTATCAATGGTGCATGTAATTCTGTCCCATAGCCAAGCTCATTTGCTTGAGCATGTAATCTTACATTATATTAGGTATGAAAGAAATAGGCCATTTCTTAGTACAGTAGTTATGAATAACCTCTGCTCATATTTGCGACATGAGGACTTCCATCTTTGTATGCTGCAAATTAAAGGCCACCTACACTATTAATAACATCACTGCACATTTGTATGGATGATCTTTAAATACAGTACCTTTGGTACTGAACAGGTAGCTTTCAGCAACTCCCAACTATCCTGGAATAGGGAGGGCAGAGAAGGACAATGGAAGACTCAACAAGTCTAGATACTGTGGAAGCATCGGTGACCTCCTTTGTGTATCAAGTGAACCTAAAGTTTTGGGAAAACTGGACTTTAAATTGACAGGTCACAAAATTGAGCTTGCCCTGGCTGCATTATATGGTTATGTTACTCTTTAGGCTCAGTTCACAAAGCTTTAACACAAGGATATGGATCTTGATTTCAGCAACGTGACTATAATTTTCAAGTCTAATTGGGCTCAGCTGAAAATGACTGTCCCTTTTTTTTAAACTAAGGTGCTGTATCATGAGGCTGTAGCTTAGTAGATTGAGCCATTGACCTCTCTATTATAAAAGGTGATTTGTTATTACTTTTGCTGTTTATGGTTAAAATTAGATTATGAATGTGACGTTTATGTAGATTATCTTTTTAGCCACATTTAAAAGTGAAATGGTATAAGCAATGGTAGTGTTAAAGCAGCCATATTGTTTCATGACTCTTATTAAAAGCCATGTATATGTTCATATATAAGTATGGATGTCAAGGTAGTTTAGTGAAATAGTCAGGGAATAGAGTAGGATAACACAATCTTGTTCTGTGTATACAATCACAAGGCTTTGTTCACTTGCTTTTCTCTGCCCTTCCTCTCTGGCTGTACTTTGCCTAATATACTGTGGGGGGAATTTTATCAAAACTGGAGCAGACAAAAACTGTCTGCTCCAGTATTGATAAATGCCCCCAATGTGTATTATGATTTTACTTCCTGCCTCTTCTATAATTAATTATATATTCTGTGTTGCCACTTTTTCTCAGCTGCTTTTCTGTTATTCAGTTTCCTATTCTATTTCTTCTCTTCTCCTTCCTACAGGTATATTTGGTGGACTAGTCATGCAGATACTGTAGGGAATTGAGCAAAGTGACAGTAGGTAAAGATAAGGAGTTTATGTATTCTTCATCAAATCACCTTTATGGCTTCATTAAAGAGTAACCCCTTCACCTTTTCCTCATATTAAGCTTAAAGAAGTCATGGGGCTGTGGAGCTAAAAGTTCAGAGAAGGAACGAGCGGCTTATAATGTCATCCGAGAAGAATACCGCAAGCTGGGGCCAATTTCCTTTGCGGAGTTTAATGTGCTTCTTCTGTTCACTGTGCTGGTCATCCTTTGGTTTACAAGAGATCCCGGTTTTGTTAGAGGTTGGGCCACCGTACTCTTCAATAAGGACAATGTAGAGTAAGTCTTTTTGTATTTTTATTTAGTAATGTTTTGAATTGTATTTTATGCTTTTTCTTCTAATTTACCCAAGACTCATCTTGCTCCCTATCTAGAATTTACCATTAGGCACAGTCGCAATAACCATCCCATATTAACATAATTACAAACTGTCACAATATTCTAAGCCAAGGTAGGACTAGTAAACAAGAAAACATTGTTTGTAAAAGGGATATACCTAGCACAGGGCTATTGTTTTGGGAGCCAAACGTTTAGACGGTTCTTTTCCTAACATTACCAACTTCCAACCATGCCAAGACCACCTCCAGTAATAGCATTATATCCAGTGAAATTGCTCTACGTTCCTTCTAACTCGTCTGCAGTAAAATAGATCCTTGATATTCTGAGATGAAACAGTAGCAAAGTCACACCTGGAAAAATAAAACGTTTACTTGGAAAGCTGTAATATCACTTGTAAATGTATATATACTGTATATTTGTAAGGTGTTAACATGCATAACATTCTGGGCCATTCAAGGCAAAGTGATGGCATCTTTGCCAAGAGGTCCTTTGATTCACTAATACCTTGCCAGTTCTCCACTGCCATTCCATTCTCTGCTGCAGCTGGCAATAATACCTGGTGCTTCTCTGGATGGGGGAGCATGTGCCCCCCTCCCATGTGTGCTCAGATCCTGCAGCCAACTGCTCGGCCTGAGCACTATCACATGACAGAGGGAGCAAAAACCCCACTACCCCTCGCATACGACATTGAGAATTTTAGTGCCGGTTGCAGCCATGAAAGAAATGGTGAGGAAGTGCTTGCAAAGTGAGTGTCAGTGGGTCAGGGGGCCACTTTGCAAGGACACTGTTACTCTGTCCTGTCACTTTTCCCTGGATGAGCAAGACGATAGTGTGACTTTATGTACATCTGGATGTAAGCATGACAAAAATATCCAAACCGAGCATTTTACTTGGCAGTGTTAAGAAATTATGCATCCCTAATACGCCATAAAAATTACATTAGAGGTCAGAATGCATGATCAACACAATATCACTGTATAAGGGAGCAGAGCTACGTAACAAAGAAAATTAAAAAAATAATGGGGGGAATTTATCAAAACTGGAGCAGACAAAATCTGAAACAGCTGTGCATGGCAACCAATCAGCTTCCACCTTTTATTTTCTGCCCTAAAAAACACTCAAAAAAATATGCCCCCCAAAAAATCCAATCATTTCTATGGCCCTGTTCACATCTGAACGTTTTGTCACAATAAGCAAAATGCCTGTCACTGGAAAAAGTACATGATCTTTTTTTTTGGCATATTACAGCTCGCTTGGCCCCATAGACTCAATAGGAAACACCTAAAAATGCGTGTTTGCTGAGTTTTTGCGCGTTTCTACGTGTGTTTGCTTACTATCAATAATCAGCTACAATCTGCTCACAGAAACGCGCAATTTGATTTATGCGCCATGTCATCTAGGTGTGAACCCAGCCTAACTGAACAAACTGAAGAGAGAAGCTGATTGGTTGCCATGGGCAACTGTTCCAGATTCTTTTGCTCCAGTATTGGTAATATCTTTATATATACTAAGCTATATAATTTAATATATACTGTGTACTATATGCTGCATACTGTATGATAAAAGTGGAGACTATTTATTATTCTCTTTGGTAAATGGTGATGGTATGAGGATTAGGATGCAAGGTATTCAAAGTGCTTTTGTATCATTATGTAATATTATGGCATGATTTCCTTAACGTATTTGTTAAATTTGGCCAAAAAAAATGTAGACTGAAGTCTTGTGAAATGCTTGGGTGTCAGTCATAAATCCTATGATATTCCACATGTATTTTTACTTGCAATGGTAAACAGTTACCTGTCTTTTTAATCTGCAGGTATGTAACAGATGCCACAGTGGCTATATTTGTAGCTGTCCTTCTTTTTGTTCTACCAGCGAAAAGACCTAAATTTACCTGCCATAAACAGAGTGACAGTTTTGATCTGGAAGATCCCCAAGAAGGTAAGAAATACCAAACCTATAAAGCACAACCAACACACAACATGCCTTTATTGTACTGAATCCACAACATATAAAAAAATATGGGTGCAAATAGAGTAAATATCTATGTGGATGGTTCAAAGTCTGCTCTTCTGCAAGTTACCTAAAACCAGACTGCTACCAGACAAGCATTTCTGGCAATTCACATTTAGTTGAGCTTTTTGACATGTATCAAAAATGTGTTAGTCCCTTTGTGGGGATATTAAGGCTGTGGAACAAATGATGTCTTGTGAAGTATAATCTAGATTTTGTACATACATTTAGCAGAAAAAGCAAAACAGGTCCTTGATTTGTCTTGTTATATGACATGGTCTAGTCACATTAACTTCTTCCAGTGGAATATATGTAATTTTGCAGACACCAAAAACAGGGACTTCTACTTATGATTTATCTTAACTACACATTTGGATAGAGTAACGAATGGTTACGACCCTGTCAGTGTGTGTGTGTGTGTGTGTGTATGTGTGTCTGTCTGTGTCCCATCAGGGAGATTTTACATCACTAAGGCCCCTTTCAGATGGCTGGTCTGAACAGGTCCGCCTGTCAGCTTTTCAGGTGGGCCTGATCGTATGCCCGATGTAAATCTGTGGGCAGCCAGATCTAAAAGGACAGGTCTTTCGCCGGACCTGATTGCCCCGGATTAGGGTAATCTGATGTAAATGGACACAAGTCTGTTTACATCTGATTCCCCAAAGACTGGCATGGGGTCCGGTCATTTCATTTGGATGGACACAAATGTCACAGCAGTGACGTCCAATCCGTACCATTCCAATCAGCAGGGGATCCTTGCATGGATTCTCTTCTGATCAACAGTGTGAAAGGGGCCTAAGTACATAGTGAGGAGAAATCCATTCTTAGTTTTCAACAGAACAGGTCAGGTTACCTTTCATCTCCTGTTTCTTTGAAATTTGGGATTGTAACCAGGACCAGTAAAGAGGTTTAATCTCTCCTGCAGAAATACAGACACCAATAAAAGTTGGTATAGGTTTCAATCCTTCTACATTCTATCCAATGCATTCTATATTTTACGTTCTAATCCAAAGAAACACGTTTTGGCTTAACAAAGACTTTAATTAGAATATTAAAATAATGTGCCAGTATGATAAACATTTTTCTGATTATTCAATTTTGTTATGCAAAATCAAAACTGGTGTTAACTGATGTTAATCTGATTATATATGGGTAAATCTTTGTTTATCCTAAAAAAAAAATCTAAGAACTGGCAATTCTCAAAATGATTGATAGACATTATGGTGGCTGCAAGTTTTATTCTATTTTCAAACATTTTTTTTTCAATATTTTTTCATGACTGCTTAAACTGGTTAATTTAATTGTGTGGCCTACTGGTGAGCATCGCAAATATAGCACATTGTTTTTTGGCTTCTAAAACCTAGCATGATTGCTCTTGGCATGGAAGCATAGGTTTAAACATCTTTGGCACACCAAACTGTGCAAGAGTACATTTTTAATGCTAATATGTATTCATCACTTAGACTTATATTATAGGTAATGATATTGTTTAGTGATAATCATACCCAAAAACCTACAACTAACTAAAATAACTAAAATACTAACTAACTAAAAACTAACTAAAATAGCCCTAAACATCAAACTCCAACCCTCAACCTAACCCCTAATCCAAACTCCAAACCTCAACCTAACATCTAATCTCAACCCCAGCCAACTGTAACCATTTCTCTAATCAGCCTTAATCAGGTTAATTTGCGAACAATAACCACTTAACCGAAACAATCATTTATAATAAAATCATATGATGTATTTATGATTTTTGCAACACCTCTTAAACCCCATTTGGTCTGTCTTCAATCTTATTATGAGTATTGAGGGGGTGGTGCTATATTACTGGGCTACTTAGTTTTCTACTACTAAACAATCGTTTAACCATTAACCCTAAAACTTACATTTCCAATAACCAAACCTTACATTACCTTTACACTGAAAAACTGTTGCACCGAAAAAGCCTATGCCATTATAGTACAGAAATGTTGGCAAAAACATATATTAAAACAATAAGTTGGCACTACAAATCCTTTGCCAACATGTCTGTGTGAAGACATATGACCAACCCACATGCACACTACAGCTAACATTTTGATAGCTGAGCACATTTACCAGGTATTCAGTCACATAAGAAGAAAAAATGGACACAGAGAGTATATATAACCTGATTAGGTCATAAATAGGGAAAACAATGAAATGTGTATTCACTACTTCAGTGAGTGACCGCAGTTGGTTGGTTTTATTCTCAGGGAGACATCTTCCCACCTTTACCAATCCACACATGTAGTATGCTGACTTGATACACTAAACTGATAGTGTGTGCTTGTTCTCTAGAATATTACATGGGCTATGGCTGTTATTAGTGCAAGATGGCGGCATTAGGGATTTACTGCCACAATATTATCTGAATACTTGATTACTGTCCTTGTTTGTATAGAAGAAGAATCATTTATGTCAGCACCATTACTCACATGGAAGGTTGTTCATAAGAAGATGCCATGGAGTATTGTTCTTCTTCTCGGGGGAGGCTTTGCATTGGCAAAAGGCAGTGACGTAAGTATATTATTATTGAGGACACAGAGTGAACATTTAAACAGTTTCCAAGTATTCTGCACATTCTCATTTGTTTTATTCTTCAATATTCTGTTCAATATAGTGTGTACAATTTCATGCCAAGAGGAACTGTGTTCTGGCGACTCCCCAAGGTTCCCTGTTGGTCTGGGGCATAAGAACTGACCTGCTCCTTTAATGGGGCCTTTATCTGCATAATCAGATAAAAAAATCAACTTTTAAAATGTAAAAAGTTCAACAGAGAGAAAATCTATAATGTTACCAAGAGAAAATTGTAGCTTTCATAGGAAAGCTTTTACTTGGCTGAACATTCTGTCCCACTTTATGAATACATGCCAAGAGAACAAAATAATAAAAAGAAAAAAATATTTCCTAGACAAGGTTCTATGGCGAGTGAACAGTTATAGCTTGAATTTTTAGAATCATTTTGAATATGATGAATTGCGTTTTAGTGTATTTGGCAACATCGTATGTGACATGGTGTTAGGTATCAGATGAGTAAATTGACCTGTGAAATACCTGCCAGATCTCCAGAACAGGAGGGAAGTTAAAGGAGGAAACAAGTATGTACACATTTAACTTCCTGGAACTTCCCGCAACATAGTAACAGTGCACCATTTTCACCAATGGCCAATCTCCCATAAGGGTTATGCACCTATCAGTTTTCTTGGACAGGGAAGCATCCTTACTTATCACCTGTCTTTACTGACTTATTGTACCTTACCTGTCCTTTCATTCCACTATTTCTCAACCCTCTAGTGTTTATTTGTCTAGTGTTGTTGTGCCTGGCTTGTTTGGTGCCTTCTAGTTTTCCACCTATTGCCTTACCCTGTCCTAATTGTTTTTATCCTTTAGGCTGGATTCATATCTGTTCATTGCGGTAACAGGCTACCTACATTTTAACACATTACTGCAGTGCACAGTATGTGCATTGCAACTCACTCTGAATGGCATCCCAATAAACAAATACAGTAAGAGAAAATACACTTGCAGCCACAATGCACAGATGTGAATGCTCTGTGCATTGTGATGCAATCCATTGCCATGAATAGTGCAGGTTGGATGAGAAATCTCTAGCTTTAAAGTAGTCTCCTGGTGCAAATTAAAAGTGGACAGCTGTTTAGGACAATTCACAGTGTGGTCCACCTACACAATCCCTTTCTGTCCAATCTTCTTCAAATTTCTCAATGTCATGGTAAGTGAGAACTGGCATGGCTTCATGAATGGCATCTATTTAGGAAGGTGATCCACCTGATGGAGTCGTTTTCATTCTGAATCAATTGTCCATATTTAGATTACATGGAAAGTTTTTGTTCATAAGTTAGACAATTTTTTTCTCTTACAAACCAAGAGGTACAATAATGTATTACCTAACAACTCCATTACTAGCTTGTTCTGCTTATAGCTGCTGATTCTTGAATGTGTGCTCCTTGTGCATGAAAGTAATATTGCCGGCAGGAACAACTAGGATTCTGTGAACAACAAATGTTTGTTATTTTTTTAGTTAATATTTAGTTACCTTTATTAGTAAGATAAAGACCAGAACCGTTTGAAGTTCAGCAGCCATGGCATCTAGTCATAAATTATGTTCAATTGGCATGACTACAGTGAAATGTGATTGGTTGCTATGGGTGAATGCATTTTGCACAAGTCTTTGTACTGCAATTTTTATCGCAAAAATAAAATAGTCACTACCATGTTTGCTTCTGGTTCCTCTCTCCCACAGGCATCTGGTCTTTCTACATGGCTTGGTCATCAGATGACATTTCTTCACAGCATTCCAGCTTGGGCCATCGCCATCATTCTGTCATTAATGATCGCTGTCTTTACTGAATGTGCCAGTAATGTTGCTACAGCAACTCTGTTCCTTCCCATCCTGGCATCCATGGTAGGTAATAGGTATATTAAACCCCAAGAAGCCTTTATCATTCACATGATTCATTGCGAATGATAAGGGCTTGGCTGGATCATACATAAGAGTCACTGTACACACTGTCATATGCTTGTAACATGGGTTTGTAAAACAATATTGCAGGAACTCGTAGGCAGTGTTTCCATTTTGAATTGGATTTTATGCAATGGTGTATTGCAAAATCTTTGCAGTCATTGCAAATTAGTAATGTGATGGTGGTAGAAACAATTCTTTCATGAACAGTGAGCATATGTATTGTTTTACTGTTGTAGAATAAATAAGTACTGGCCCTAGGCTTTTAGGGTCTCGGTGTACTAAAACAGATGGGTCTTCGATATTCAAGCCTCACCTAATTTAGAATCCAAGTTTTACATTTTGCCATGCCAGTCCTTGAAAGTAAAATCTGTTTATAAGGACTGACATTGGCGGTTCAGATAAACTGGTTCTTTGGTGGTATCATGATACTCTACAGCTGTTCTGTTATGGCACCATTATATCTAAATGACAGCAGAATGAGGGTCAAACCATTTCTTACAAGTAGTATTTGTAGTAATAATAGGGAATACATAGGAGCATTTTTTTCAATCTAAAAAAGCATTACTAAATATATGTGCTACAATAACAGTTTTAACAACCTTTTCAGTTCTTTGGATATCCATATTAGAAGGAAAAGAATACAATGGGAGATCCAGTATGTAGTTGTAGTATATTGTTTAAATGATTTAGTTTGCTGGATATATACTCTTTAAAACTTCTAGTTGGTGCAAAAAGAAATAAATTTGACTTGGAGGATTACGTGGTAAACCGCCCATGTGTTAGGCTATTCAGAGATTGTGCTATTTTAATGATCTGAGTTTGGTAAGACTTCCTGTAGGTTGGATTAACCTTCTGGGTCCAATATAGGTAAAAATACTGCAGGTCACTGATATATTCATCTGTTTATCTTTCTGTATCCTAGGCCAAATCCATTTTGGTTAATCCACTGTACATAATGATTCCTTGTACGCTGAGCACCTCCTTTGCCTTCATGTTACCTGTGGCTACACCCCCTAATGCCATTGTCTTCTCTTATGGTCATCTCCATGTTTCTGATATGGTAAGTTTCTTTATCGTTTAAAATATTTAATCACAATTTATACATATAAGTATGCAAGTGGCCTAAAAATTAAATAGTTATTACCACTCTGTCTAAAAAAAAAAAGGGGAGGGGGGTTTAGAGCTTCTGTCACATTTTTATTGTTGTCTGTGTTCCCATTGGAGAAGATCCATCTTCACTATTTGCTTTTGTGATCATTGTTCCCAAGACAGAGGGTAAGGAAAGATCTGAAATGTTATGGTTGTCTCCGGTACAGGAGTAGATTGGATATATTAAAATGTGATCATTGTTCCCAAGACAGAGGGTAAGCAAAGATCTGAAATGTTATGGTTGTCTCCGGTACAGGAGTATATTGGATATCTTGAAATTGGTGTCTGTTCTAGTAGCAGCCGTTGAAGGTTGAATTTTACCTCATTTTGGGGAGATTTTGCTCACTTCAACTCATGTTTTTTGGATTGGAAGTCAAGGACAGTTATCCGACAGAGGTTGTGTTTTGACTCTCACTCTCCACTCCCATAGGTCACCAAGCACCAGTGCTGTCACATGGCAGAAAGGGAAGTGAGTTACCTGCCCTTCCCTACCCTGATATTTTATTTTCTATGGGAGAGTGAAAGGACAGTAATTATAAACTGCTGCAAGGGCCATTATTAAAAGTGAACCTGGCCTGGACATAGCACAGGTTCACTTGAAGGTTTACGCTAATCAACTTTTACAAAACACAGGTTGTTAAAAAAAAATGGTGCTGTGCATTGCCATTGGACTTCCACTAGACGGGGACTACATTCAGTTTGTGGCATTTCATTGTTCAACAACAATCATGTTAAGGTAACTTATTATTTATTCCTAGGTGAAAACAGGTATGATGATGAATGTCATCGGTGTATTATGTACGACGGTAGCTATTAACAGCTGGGGCCGCGTCATGTTCGACCTGGACACATTTCCAGCATGGGCCAATACTACAGATGGAAACTGATATAAAGAAAATGTGTGCCAAAATACCTGTGCCATAAACACTTAACTCATGAACACAAAAGCTAATATGGAGCCTGGTTTGTCAAAGGGATTACTTAATGAAACAGACTTCTAAATGGTTTCTTCCTTTTTGCAAAGCACAGAACAAAGAAACAAAATATCTGAGATTATTATACAACAGAAGAAGATGCAATAATACAAGAACTATTTTTGAACGTTACATGAACTTGGATTTCAACATCATCAGTTGTGCAAATAACTAAAAAGTCCTCTTCATTACATTCTCTTTGTAAATATATTGTACTTGTGGGTGGTGGTTACTCAGTAAATGTTCTTTTTCATGTTGTCAGGTGGTCAGAAAGCTACACTGTGTTAAAAAAAAACAAGCTAGTTTAAACTTTATTAGTGGGACATAATGTCTTACAGCTGGTTTAATTTGGTGGGATTGAACAGGTAATAATAAATGCAAACAAGATTGGTTTCTTGGAGTCTGTTTATAAAGATGTGATATAGACATTTTGCAATATTTCCAACTTTTTAGTTTGTTTTACCCCTATGGGCTATTTATAAAAACCTAGTGCTGTTTGATTGTTTGTCACATTATTATTACCACAGTAAAATCCATTTTCCTTATGGAGTTTATTAAAGTGACTGTCACTACGAAGCCAAGGCTGTAAAAGAAAATGCTGTATACTTACATTTCCGGCAGTCCATGTCTTCAAATGCACCATGTTGCAGACCTTCTTCTGCAGGTATTCAACACTTCTGGATGCATTGGATACCTGCTCTCCCTCCTTGCAACTGTGCACTGTGGTTCCTTCTGCTGGCTCGTATGTATTGTACAGGACAGTGGGAGGAACCACCGTGAACAGCGGGAGGAGCAAGTGTGCACACCCCCAGAAGTGTCAGATACAACTTGGCTTTAAAGACATGGGCTACTGGAAAGGTAAGAACACAGCATCTTTTTTTTACCGGGCGGGTTTAGTTTCGCTTTAACCCTTTAGTGACAGGGTCACTTTAATTTGTAAACAGATTAAATTCAGTTTTTAACAAATATTACATCATACATTTCTTTTTTTATATGCCATCCCTGTCCAAATGCAATCCATTATTTTCCTCTTTGTGTTTTTTTTTTTTTGCTGAAAGTGGTGCAGAAAAAGCTTGGTCACTTTCTACTCACCCAAAAAGAGGGATTTTTCAATAACTTACTACTGCAGCAAATTTGGGTCTGCAGGAGATATGCAGATGTGTCCAGTCTGATATTTCCATTGCAGTCTATTGGGTCAAGAAGCGCAGAATCTGCCAAAAAGAAGCTCATGTACTACAAAGCGACAGTCGTTTTGCTTCAAGCTACAAAAAGCTCAAATGTGAACATGGCCATAGAAATTAATGTTTTCTGGGGGGGCTACAAAATGCTATAGTGCGATTGAGGGCTAACACAGCCTTTGGCTGGGCTTTGGAATTTACAGTAAAGCTAAAACCTTTTTTTAGGTTTGGTTAGACAAGCAAATTGTTAAAAAAAAACTAGCTGTTTTTTTTCCTGCTTTGAGAGTCCTACTTGGGTTATTTTTCTTTACTTCCTGTCCCAAAGACACAAATTTCATCAAACAAAAGGAAACTGAAGGTCTAGGAATCTGCTTTATTAGAATAGCACTTTTTTTTGTTAATATTTATCTTGATTTTTTCTTTGCAGAGGTAAAACTTGTTAGCTTTATTTTCAGAGATGGAGGAATGTTTGCAATCAGTTTTTGCTTCCCTCCATGCAGTATTATACTGTTCGAATGGCAGGGAATGATAAACCAATATAGTGCTTGTACTCTACAGGTTGAACTCGATGGACTTGTGTCTTTATTCAACCTGACTAACTATGTACAAGGTAATACAGGGAAGGACATGGAGGGGGTACGCTGAAAGGGCTTAAAGTGTAATTTCACTTTTGCAGTCGATTTTAGGAAAATCCCTCTTTATGTTCATTATGTGTTCCTATTCACACAGCATACTGAAAAATAACGCTTAAAATAAATACTTACATTAGATGTTTTGTTAAAGGAGGCAAAATGGCTGAATCCAGATTTTTATGAGCCCTTTCACAGTGGTCTGTCCTAAAGGAAATTCTTAGGACTGAAATTTGAGGATTGTGTTTATCTAATGAGCTTCATTAACATACAATGGTCCAGCCACCTCTGAATGGACGTTACCCCTCACAGACCCTCCGAACGTTTATAAGGAATAGAAACACAATTAATTTTGAACCCTTAAACCCTAACCCAAGTCAAAGCTATTCAAACTGCAAGAAGCATTTTTTATTTATTTACTTTTTTAGCTTATGTTACGTGAATGGGAACATATAACAAATATAAAATAGGCGTTATCCTAATTTGGCTGCGAAAGTGGAATTACACTTGAAGTCATTGTGAACACAAGGCTTTGCTGTCTTTGTTAAACCGTGTAAATATAAGGATTATATGAATTGTATCATTGTATGATCAACTGATTTTGTAGTTATTTGTGTGCCAAATGACATCTCCTGTAAATGACTTGTTGATATAATTAACTTATATAAGGGATGGTTGCAACCAACAGACTTTTTGTAAGAAACAATATATTTAAATTATATCTCTATTGTTATTGCTTCATAATGTACATTTTTATGCCTAAAGAACTCTCTAAAGCAGACATTCTAGTGGATTCAAATCCACATTTTGTATTGTTAAAGAGCTATTTCACCTAAACTGATATTTCAGTTATGGTGGACACTTTTTGATCACCCACTGGCTTCTTGATTCTCCTAAGGTCTCTAGATTAGATATCCCAAGGAGTCTAGAGAAAAGATATCCATTCTGTAGTGCCAGTCTTGCACCCCGCTCATTAAATCCAACAGGGGTGGGACAGGCAACAGAAGTCTCACTCTTACTGGTGCATTCTCTGTAATATAAAACATAAAATGTACACAAGAGAGCAAGAATCCCTTGCAATGATCCTACCAAGTTGGCAGACCTGAGAACTCATGTGCTGAGAGATTGCTAATGGAGTACTTAGGAGGTATAAGAAGCCAGTGGGCGACTCATGTTTGGTTTGTTAAGAAATCACTCCTGCTGCTCTTATTAAATTATATTTAAGTAGGTTATTTTTTGCTCTTTCCTTTTTAGTGGGATAGATATACTCCTAATATAAACTTGTCACACAGTCAGGGAATTTAAACTGTGTATATGATAAAAAATAAGAATAAGCAAAGGAAAACTTTAACTTCATAGAAAAATGATCCGTAGGTATAACTAGCTTAAACTGTATGCAAATAATAAAGTTTTCTGTAAGGCCCTGCTCACATATACAGAGGTGATTGGTGTTTTTCCAGTGGACCAACGGCAGTGACCGATAGATAGGGCACATAGGAAACAATTGTTATCTATGGGTTCCGTTCACACCACAATGCAGGTGTAATTTGTGGTGGGCCTGCGGTAAAATGCAGACATACTGCATTTTTCCACAGCACTTTGGATGCCACCGGAGGACATCGCATTGCAATGTAAAGTGATGTCGTGCAGAGACATGAATAGTGTGTACACTTTGTATACTCCAAAGAAAATTAGCAAAATAAACAACGCAAGGCACCGCGGCTTACCGCTGCCACTTAGTGGATGCTAGCTGTGGTTAAATGCTGCATTTTATCATGTAGCTAGTGCAACAAGCCCTAAAAGTCAAGCTTGGCCCTGCCCTTCTGGCCACCTAATCCCTATTTTTTATTGTGATGGGAGTGACATAATAGACCAATAGGGATGCTCAGGTGGTGAACAGCAATTGGGCCTAGTGATAAGTTTACTTTACTCAAACATGCGCACAAGCAAAAATAGTCTTCTGTTTAGATAGATAACAGTGATTATATCCAATCTTCAGCAGGATATAATTTAGACACTTAAAGGGAACCTGTCATCATAACAGGTTAGAGAAGCCTCCAGTGGAGGCATCTATCCAATCACTGGTCAATTATTACTTTTTCTGGTGCAGTGGAGGACCTGTTCAGCTTCACTGTGAGTCACGGGTACAGGAACTATAGTGCAGCTTGGGTGCCAAGAAGGACCAATAAAAATCACAAGCTTCTTCGAAAGGCATTTTTGTTTGATGACATATACCTTTTAAAAAACAAGGATAAGAAGGAAAAGAAGTCTATCATTACTGTAAAGTTTAAAGTGGTCGTTTCCATTGTCTGTGCAGAGCAAAGGGTTTACATAGCTCCTCCCCTCCTTAGCAGCATATACCCACCTCTCTTCACTCTCATGTTAAGCCAACTTTGGAAAGAAAGTTCTGTGTAAGCTCCAAACTGACTAATTAGAGCTTACACAGAGCCACTGACTACTTCCCGTGCCTCACCTGACAGCACTGGACCAATCATGAGGCACCAGCACTGTTAAATGAGAGAATGGGAATGAGTCATATGCTTACCCATGGCCTGAAGTGATCTCACCCATGCCATGAAGCGATGGGTATTTCACCTCACTTCCAGCGGTTTAATGGAGTGACAGAGAGCTAAAGAAAGGCAAGTGAATACTGCTACGGGAAGGAGGAGCTAAATTAAACTTTTACTTTGTCCTGCATTGGCAAAGGAAAGGGTGACTTTAAGTACTGTACATTTCATGAACAATATACCGTCAAGGATTAACTTACCAGGAGAAAACACAGGCAGCTTGTGTAAGGAAGCTACTGGTAGGAGTTATGAACTTATCTTGCCAACTCACTTGCATTTTTCTTTTATTATGGAAATGATAATAGTTGATGCACATGTTATGTCTCCCATCAGCATCTCTATGCTTGGTTTATGTTGAGAGACTGACCTCAGTATACACCAAGGCTAGGATATGGTGAGAGGAGATGTAGATATGCACTGCATGTCACATGCTTGGCATAACCTACAAGTTTGGTGGCCAGTCATCGAGTCTTCAAATATCTTGCAGTACTAAAAAATCAGACTACATTATTAACACATTAAATATAACTGCTACTGAGCCATAGGGATGAGCTATCGTCACCCTGACATTTAAATAAGGTTTACAGTTTCCCTATAATAAACATGTTGTCTAAATAATATTACTGCACTTTGGATTGTTGGGTACTGTTTGACCAGCATTCCTTATACTGTGATTAGGAAACACAAAGAGGTTGTAATTCCATCCGCATGTAATGTATTTAAATACAACAATGTACTATTATATTCATGCATATTATGCAAATTATGTTATTAAGTGAGTGGAAGTTTATAGTTTATTCTGTTCATAGATATTGTAATTTATTTCTTATCATCTCACACTAACACTGATTGGAGGTCACCTTGAACAGTAACAAAATGTAATGTACTCATGTTAGCCACACACAGATAATGCAAAGATCTTAATCAGGGGTATGCAAACTCCGGCCCTCCAGCTGTGCTGAAAGTACAATCCCATCATGTATCTACCTTTGGAAGCCATGCCTGTGGCTGTCAGATTCTTGCAATGCCGAATGGGATTTTTTGTTGCACTACAGCTGGAGGGCTGGTATTTGCCTACCCCTGATCTAAATTATGTCTATCAGCAGTTCTGGAACAATGAGATCTGACTCTCTTTTGTATAAGTGATTGGTAAATTTTGATATTTTTTTGGTAAACACTGAATGAAAATGTATAGCGCTTTGCATAAATCTTCCCACATTTTGTAGTGTTACAACCTGAATATACATTTTGTTTGCAATTTGATTCACTCAACCTACTTATCATTCATAGGTGAAATATTTTATTTTACAAAGCAACAAAAAAAAACCTGACATTTTGTGGTGGGATTAGTACTCACACCTGAGCACCTATGAGCTGGTAGGAATTGAGTGATCTCTCTCCTTCAGCTTGTGGGACCAAATGAGAGAAGTCTTGATGTGTATGGCTACCCTAACTGCAGCAGGGTCTTCTACAATCCTTTAGAAGGTAAAAATCCTTTGGAAGGTAAAACAACTCCCTATGTATTTCATCTGCATATTTAACTGTTTGCCTGGAGTTCGGCTTTAACTCAACCCAAAGCCCCAATTAGATCAGTTTTAATTTAAGGTTGTAATAATACAAATTGTGGAAAAGTTCAACAGAGGTTAGTACTTATGCAAATCACTGAATCTCATATATAAAAGCACGGTGATGGTTATTCTCTGCAAACAATTGCCCCATGAATTCCAGCTATCATTTTTCAAGCAGGTTAGAAAATAAAAGGAGAAATGCAGCTGCTTGCTTTGGGCATTACAATTTCCTGTCAGATATCTTTGATAGATAAGGTCCAGGGTACAGCTCAGAGACAAGACAAAAAAATACTAGTGGTCACTTGGTGCTTGGGAACAGTGCTGTTATCCCAGGACACTTACATGGTACAAGTACCTCCCTGGGTGGGTCAATTTTCCATGAACTGTGGTTTGTGTTGGAAATTCTAACTAATGAAGTGTTAATGCGTCACTCGAAAATTATGTAAATAGCCACTCATCGGTCTTGTGGAAAGATTCCTGTAATTAATAAACATCTCCTCGTAGAATAACAGGTTGTTTTGATGGATGTTTGAAATCTAGGAAATAAATTAATTTGTGGATAAAACTTGGTGCTGTGTATTCCTACTTTACGTGATGCAGACTGAACAATGAAAGAACACACATTCAGCAGTAAACAAAGCATTACACACAGCATTCAGAAGTAGATGTCATGGGGTAAAATAGGCCCATGGCTTATTCTGAAAAACATATGTTAGGGGTGTAATCAAAAAATTCAAACGGTCCGATAGAAAAACTTTGATAGACTTCCCATCAAGGGAAGTTGGCCACCCCCATAACGCTGATGGTCAGAGGTGGGCAGCCTACAATTTATTAATGAATTTAGAATCCTCATGGTTAAACTGAACAAAGGTTGCAGATTACAGGAAAACAAGCTTCCCTTGGTAAAATCAATAGTACCCAACAAAAAACTGCATCCACGTCCCACACCTGCAAGACAATCCCAGTATAACAGAGCCCTGACCATGTTTCACAGTAGGTATGGTGTTATTTGCTTTGAAAGTTTAATTTTGTGAACATAAAAAAGCTCCTGTTTTAACTCATCTGTCCAAAGGACATTCTTTTTTATGTTTTTCTTCCAACAGTGGAGTCTTCCTGGGTCTTCTTCCTTTAAGCCCTCAAAGTGCTCAAAAAGTGATGGATGTTGTGATCACACACTGATGTACCTTGACCTTGGAGTTCAGCTTGTGTCTCTTTGGAGGTTTTTCTTGGCCCTTTTTTTTACCATTTGCACTATACTTATGGAGTCGATTTTCCTTTTCCATGGCCGGGAGGTTGGCTACGCTTCAATGCAACTTTGGTCACAGGAAGATCAAGCTGCTTAGCGATGGCCATATAACCTTTACATTTGACATGCTGATTTATCATTTTCTTTCTGATCCCCTCAGACAACTTTATGCTTTGCTGTCTCTGGTCCATGTTCCGTGTGGTGCACACACGAATACCAAACAGTGACTACTCCTCTCCATTTAGATAGACTGACTGATTACAAGATTGCAGACATGAGTAATACTAACAACAGAAAAGAGATAGTTTGAAATATCACTATTAGCAAATTATTTCATATCTTTTCTAGGTGTACCAACAAATCTGCGAATAAACAATAATGTATCTCTTCACAGTTTTTGTGGCTGTACTCTATGACATACTAAAGGCATGCAGGTATACATGAGACAATTGCTTTTAATTTCAACACTTTTTAGGAGGCATGAAGCATTGTTTCAATGAACTGTAAGGGCACCAACAAATGGGTCCATGGCTGTAAAAATTGCAAACAGGCAGTTTGAACAGGTCATTTCACACAAGTGCAGGCAGGACTATTTGGAGATTCAGCTTCCTCCTTGTAAGCCGTTACTAAGCTAAGCCTGTGGTGTATTCCAATGGAAAGGAACTCCTTCTTTGCCATCAACCATCACTAAACTGGCAGATCAATGTGCAATTAGCCTGCATTTTTTGACTCCTGGGCTAGCAATCATAGCAATATTTCGTTGTTAAGGAGTACTGATAAATATAGTGAGTTTTAAACATGAACCATGACCCTCCCTATGCCTGAGCCTTATAGTATCTGCAAGGACTGTTACGGGCTGTAGTTATGGTCTTGCCAGTACATGTGCTTTCTGATTATGTATTATCTTTTTGCCTTAAAAAACCCCATTATATTTGTTATACAATACATTTTGTAATTTTATGTTAAGAAAAATTACCCTTTAATTTTAGTCTGCAGTTAGTCCTGATTTTTGAATACTACTAAAATTCTATATAAACTATATAATACTACTAATTCTTCTTTTTGCAACCATGGGAAAAGAGCTTCCCCGAATTCCAACCTCCCACTCAAAAGATTGATTCACTGCTTTAGAAAGAGCTGGCCCAGAGCTTAAGGTCACATTACAGACAACTACTGCAACTTTACTTCATTTTTACTTAATTGGCTAAAATAATTTTATGAATTTAAAGGAATGCTGGGGGATAGAGTTTTTCTTATAACAACACTGAGACCGACTATGTTCCAGTTAAACACGTGGCGTCTTCACACATGATAAACAGGCTGATGGACTGTAGGCAAGTACCCACCACTAAGCACCTGAATGCATTTATAATTTATTTACAGAGGCCAATGAGAAACAGAACTTGCATGAATTGCTCTCTCCAACATCCAGCGCCTCTCTATCCACCATACTTACAGGACAGTAGGGAAATGTGGAGAGTGGGCCATAGTAAACTGCTTGGTTGATGTTTGCACCATATAGATCCTTGGGTTTTGGGAGTCCTGCAGCACTCCGGAAGCTGAACATGTTTACAGATGCTTAGAAGTGCCATTTATATATCATTGTAGCATTGTACCATATCGAAGATATCAAAGCGAACCCCCTCACATTTAGCAGATAGTTTCACAACGTGCACTGGTAAGGTCTACACCAATTCTTTTTCTGAGCAAAAGTCAGGCAAGAATTTGCACTAAAAGTCTCTAAAATCAGTTTAATGTATATCGCCAACCTGATGGGGGGTCGCCCCCCCAAAAAATTATTCAATGTTTTTCATTACCATATAGGTTCAAAGTATTTTTGTTGTATAAAACTTCCATTGTCAGTGGTAGCAGGTACAGACACCTTTAGGTCAAGCAACAAAATCTAAGCATGGCCCTCTAAACATAGCTGATATTTTAAAAGCATAGTAACATAACTGAATATAACACTTGCTATTTATGTTATCACTACATTACCTTACATTTGCCAACATGACTGGATTACTGCATCCTTTTACTCGTTTTTAAGGTATAGTATAGTGTCCCTCCTGATCGCATACATCTGTGTTTTTACATTATGTTGCAGTCTCCTCAACCCCCACTCTCCACTTTCTGTGTCAGGCAATTATACTGTATGTTTATTCTCCTTCATTTAGTAAACTTCATCAATTAAAGCCTAGACATGCTTATTAGCAAATGCTGTTCTTGACAAATACTACAGACAACACATAGTAGCAGATCTAGGGAGACAACAAAAAAGAATACGTTGCACAAATACAAAAATACGCTTTTCCAGCCACATCTTGATCTGTGTATTTCCACTGGAATCTACACCGATCAGCCACATCATTATGACCACTGAGAGTTGAAGTGAATAACATTGATTATCTTGTTACAATGGCAAATGGGAGTGAGTGTGATATATTATGCAGCAAATTAACATTTTGTACCTGAAGTTGATGTGTTGGAAGCAGAAAAACGGGCAAGTGTAAAGATTTGAGCGACTTTAACAAGGACTACATTGTGATGACTTGATGACTGGGTCAGAGCAACTCCAAAACTGCAGATTTTGTGGGATGTTCTGGTCTGCAGTGTTCAAGACATACCAAAAGTGATCCAAAGAAGGAAAACCAGTGAACCGCGACAGGGTCATGGGCGGCCAAGGCTCATTGATGCACATGGGGAGTGAAGGCTGGCCCGTGGCGTAGTCCGATCCAATAGAAGAGCTACTGTAGCTTAAATTACGGAAAAAGTTAATGCTGGTTCCTATAGAAAGGTGTCTGTACACACAGTGCATCACAGTTTGTTGTGTATGGGGCTGCGTAGCTGCAGACCAGTCAGGGTGCCCATGCTGACCTGGGTCCATCGCCAAAAGCCCATGCAATGGGCATGTGAGCACCAGAACTGGACAATGGAGCAATGGAAGAAGTTGGCCTGGTCTGATGACTCATGTTTTCTTTTACTTCATGTGGATGGCTGGGTGCGTGTGTCGCCTACCTGGGGAAGAGATGATACCAGGATGCAAAAAAAGGGAACGAGGTCAAAGCAGTACAAATAAGAGTCGGATGGCCGAGTTTTATAAAAATATAAAGTTTATTTTAATTTTATAAAAGTCGTGGGTCACTTCACCTACTAATTGTCACCAGGTAACCCTGCTGACATTTCATAACATATAAAAATGAATCAAAAACTTGACACAACAATCATTCACTTCACATGCACACCAAAGCCAACTGCTAAATCTAGTGAAACCGGTATAACTCAATGTGAGAGCAAAAACAGCGCTGAGCGCAGAGGTTTGGAGATGAATCAATTAAATTGGATATGATGTGATCATAGACAGCTATTTCTTCTATTGATCATTTCTTCCAAATAGCACCATGGGTGTTAAACTCAAAAGAGTTGAAAATTGAAACATAAAGTCATAACTGTTACATTTGTGGCCGCCTCTGTGAGTACAAAACAGATTCATATTGACTATAGCCTCGTCAGGCGCTGATATGATATAGAGGTAGTCCTTCCAGTTGGGGTGCGGGATATCGCCCGAAATTCTTTCACCCAAAGGAGGTTTACTTAATCATGTAATATGCGAATCTAAAGAGATAAAGGTACTCACAGGTGCCGGATAAGTGCCGGATAAGTTGCCGCATAAGCTGTAGCTCGCGGTATACTGAGACGCCACAGCTGAAGCGGATCCCGACAATTGTGCCGGGATCCGCCCAGCTGTGTGACTGACAGCTGGCTCTGCCTATCTAGAGGCAGAGGCAGCTGTACCCGCCCCCTCCCCCGTCCGTTCCGCCAGTCAGCGCTGGCGGTTTGGAGCGGGAAGGGGGGAATCCAGCCCCTCCCCTGTCATGGCAGAGAGCCGTGACAGGTTCGAGAGGTGAGCGAACGCCGGTATGCCGATCTACTTACTGAGCCGACCTGTGACAGTCTCATTGTCACAGGTCGGCTAGAACTATGAGGTGAGTGAAAAGCACTCACCTCATAGTTCTCCTTTAAAGGATCTGTTACTAAAAGCTTTGTGCCAGATACCAAAGCATGCCTTCAGAGGTCTACAGGAGTCCATGCCTTGACAGATCAGCGCTGCTTTGGCAGCAAAGGAGACCTACTCAATATTAGGCAGGTTGTCATAATGATGGGTGTATATCTCTATAAGACATTTGCAAACAATAAGCCTTATAAACACAACAGAAATATGTAGGCAAATATTCCATTAAACACTCATTTGAATGTTTTAACACTAGAATAAAATGCCTGCTGGTTCCAGTATCTGGTTGATGATGGATTTAAAAGAAATGTAAAGTGTTTTTGTACATATTTCTTTCTAGTCAGGTAAACATGAAA